AATAGACTCAGGTGTGAATAATGTTTGATCTATGGCTAGAAAGCACAACTGCAGTCATTACGCTGGGCTTTTATGAGGCTCACTGCATGCTCATAAGCCAACTTAAAACAAATCGTAATGGGTGATAAAGTTGTGGGTTTGACTAAGCTGGCAGAATCAAAATGAGGTTACAGAAGAAATCAAATTCCATGTAAATAAATTGGCAGTACAGGAGAATGAAGTTATCAATTTATCAAAGAATTATACATACAAATAGTCAAATATAAGCACAACTTCTTTACTCAGTCGTACAGAAAAATCAATTAGAACATGGCAAGCATGGCAGATGTGCTAAAGGTATGGCCTTAAATTTCACTAATTCCCCACAAATGTTATGGAATCAGTCCTGATATCACCATTCTTATATAACAATCCATTCAGCTGTATTTTTATTGTGTCATCAGATCTTAAATTAACTTCGTGACTTTCAGCAGCAGAGTATTGGGGAAGGACAGACAGTTTTGCCTGATCTCATTGGAGAAACTTCAGTCCTTGCCAACAAATCTATTTCCCATTCTGTTAATATAAGACCTATTTAAGAACGGAATTTGCCAGCCATGAAAACTCAGCCTTATTCAAAAAGGGTTATTTCCTTCAGGCAAAATCCAAGCAGAGGTTTTCTTGAAGACCAGGGCTACACAGCAGCTCAGGGACACTGTGAATAGCACAGACACTTGTGAGAGAATTCAGTGTGCTTTGAAAGAAGGGGAATTTCAACTTAAAAAGAGGAAGCTTCTTTTGGACAGAGAGTGCTTGCTGTAAGAAGGACATACGTATTTGTGACAGGAAAGGGTTGATTTTCTGTGATCTGGGCTTTCTGCATATGGTGGAGGACAGGCACTGAGGACAGAGGAAAGAATGAACATTTCTGTTGTCAAGATCCATACTGAACTATTTTGCTGTCTCTGAGACAGGAAGCCTGGAGAAAGAAATAAGGTACTCCCTAGTATTGTCATAATGCTTTCAATTGAGTGGTTTTGCTTTTTTACTTATCTGATAATGATTTGAGCAGTTACTGGGGCAAGTCTTTGTAATGCTTCTATAAACAAGTAGGAGTGCACATTTGTAAAAATGTGATTGCTATTAGTAATGTGACTACTCAGCTGCTCTGTATTGCATTTGAGTCCCAGCTGCCAATCATAGCAGCTTCACACACATCCCTTACTCCCTAGAGCAAGCTGACCAGTCTATAGCAGAATGAGCCAGAGCCCACTCTATAGTGGCATCATCACAATTATTTTCTGAATTCCTGGAGCAGCACATTTATACTCAGAAACTGGGCAAAAGGACCAAAGTGGATCTGCAGGGTGTTTTCCAATTATGCGTGTTATAAGGATGGTGATCTTAATTTACACCAGTAGATAGGAGAATCAGGTCCTTTCTTTTCAACTACTGTAATTCTGGTGGTTGAAGGGAGGGACCCAAAACCAAAAGGCAAAACCTCTTCCTTTAGCTTTGTAAGTCAGTTAATGTGCTGTGAGAAGCACTGTGAGAATATCAGTATGTGTCCCCAGAGTGATTTCTGCACTGGAACTGAGAGCAGGAGAGGTTGGCTCATTTAACCACACTTCTGGATATCACATCTTCATCTAATACTTGAGATTAATTTATTGCAAGAAAAAGTAGCTCCTGATCAGTGAGCCTCCTGTTTAAGAAGCAGTATGAGGTTTGTGTCACATGCCTAGCTGGTTTTGGAAGGCACTTACTGAAAATAAAGGATGTAATACCTGAGGATTAAACCTATAATATATTGTATGGCTGCTAATTCTTGTTAGGTGTGTTTGGGTATAGGTTAGGAATCAACTACAGATTCATCCTTTTGTGTACAGTACATATCTTGCCATCAGAGGTGCCCTGCAAACTCCTGTGTTGAGGTTATGCCTGTACTGCATTGTGTCGCCGTGCTGCCACTTCCAGGCAAAGGGTCCTGTGCAGAAGCAGGAGGCTCAGAAGAGGGACAACCTGGGAGCGGGCATGTGAATTTCCTGTTCTGTACAATGACTCTTGAGGAAACTCCAGCAACTGACTGGTCTGTTAATCCGCTGGCATCTCTAAATTGTCATCTGTGTGGGAACAGGGGTGCGCTCCTTCTCTGTTTCATTGCAAAGTCAAACAGGTTAGTGTGATCTGGTGAGAAACGAATCCAGCGATTGCTACTTCCCAGCTGACAAGTTGGCTTGCCTAACCTTGAGGCAAGTGTGAGGGCTGGGAAAGGAGGACAGATGTCACCTGATGTGCTACCTGTGATACAGAAGTGGTTCGACCAACTTGCCAATTCTGTGGCCAGGCGTAGCTCAGAGTGTGGAAAAACATGTCAACCTGACCTGTCCTTTAGGTGGAACTCAGAATAAACACCACAGCTAATCTCAATGAATGTCTCATTCTGGTTGATGACGTTCTTCCCCTCTGAATTTCCCCCCCAGTTTCACTTATGTGGAGTAGATGTTCGTGTCCTATGATTTGTGCATTGGGACTGTGCATCGTTAGGCAGTTGCTGTGCTCTCTTTCAGAGATACCTGCCCTTTAGTTGTGGATGAAGAATTCTGCTTGCAGACACAGTGGAATGCTCCATGATCCTTGGACCAAAGGTATTATTTAAATAATTGGTGTTGTTTAGTTGTTATTAAAAGAGAAGTTTCTGGATGTTAGAAAAAAGGGATCCCAGAATGACAGAGAAAGTTACAGTTCTCCTGAAGATCTTAGATACAATAAAAGACGTTACTGAAAGAGGAGATGGTGGGAAGGAATACAAAATGCATTCACAGATCAAACATTAGGGCATCAGAGGGTTTTTTTTAATGTAATAACAACATAATTAAACAGTTTTTAAATGTAACTTGGAGTAAAAGATTGTTCTAAAAGAATGAGCAATAGAAAAAGTTTAGCAATTGATTACAACAGTGCCACTTTCTAAGTGGAGAAGCACCTAGGAAACACAAGCTGCCTGGGTAATGGTATGTTTTTAAAATGTGTACTGTGGTGGATATTTATTATTATACAGCCATATTTATTATTATACAACCATATTTATTATTATGGTTGTATGGCTTAGTATTTGGGTGGAGGGCGTCCTAGAATTCTCTGACTTTGCCACGTTAAGGGAATTTTCTTAAGTTGTGATTTCCTTTGATACTACTTGTTCAAATCAACCTGTGTTTACAACATGGGAGAAGGCTGGTAAACACATTCTTAGCACAATTTCATTTAGAAGTCTCTAGGATAGCTTTCAGGGCAGTGGAAAGTCTTAGTCACAGATGTCCTGTCTCCAGGGGGCTCACAGCACTGCTCATGGAGCTACTCAGTGTTGCACAGGGTGGAAATTCTAGAAATTTTAGAAAAGTCAAAAGAGTAGGTTAGTAGTTCAGTGGCCAGTTTTGTTTTGAGTTCATTGTGAAACATGTGGGAGGAGAGTCTTCCCATACAAGGCAAGTACCTGATGTAAGAAAACAAACTAATTACATGTAAGAACATGTAAGAAAGGAACATTTTTAAAGGAACTGAAGAGCAGTGAAGGAACTTAGGAGTCAGAGCACAGATTTGACAGTGTCTTTCAAAAGATAATGGCTACATCCAAAAATTAAAACAGAAAAAAAGAGAGCAAATGAAAACCCAAGCAAGCATACCAGATACAAAGCTCTTGTTTATTCCAAGACCTTCATGCTTCACTGTACGTATTGGGTTTTCACATGCTGAATTGGGAGGAACAAGAGACAGAAAGTACAAGCCAATCTCAAAATAAGTTGCACGGGGCTTTCTGGCAAGTGCCCTCAAAAGTAACAGGAGTGAAGTTGCCTCTTTTTCCCAAACATTGATCTTAGAGTTCTTCAGAGAAGGAATCCCCCTGAACTCAGCCAAGTGGGAACTGCCTCATGACTTTTCTCAGACTGGTTTGGGCCAAACCAAAGCAGTCATGAACAGGGCCAGTAAAGTGCATGTACTTATATGGTTTCTTCTCCTTTCAGTGATTGTACTGCAGAGATAGTAAATAAAGGGTTGAGTGTGACTACTGACTGCATACTGACATAATTTCAATTGATATACTTCTCCATTTTTCATCTCTGACATCCACACATGATTTGTCATTGTGAGTCATGGGGAAATCTCCAGGAATGGCTGACAAAGCCTCAAAGGGCAAGAAAGACATGCCATATAGCGCTAGCCTTATTTGGCAAGGGAAAATGGTTACCTCCCCGTGGACTGACCTCACATAATTCTGGATATCAGAGATCATTTTTAAGCCCTGGGTCTTCCAACGGCTCCCATCTCATCAGCTATCACTGGCATTGTGAAAAAGTGCCACTTCCACAGCTGGATGCTCCCAGCATGTGAACAAAAACTGCACATCTGTACACAGACGCATAATGCTCCAAAGTGGAGCAGGGTGCTCATGCACTGAGCCATGGCTACGAAGACAGCAGTTTGATCTGCCCCATTTGCCAGCAGTGGGCCATACCCTGAAGCAAAGTCTGTCTTTCCCCTCTTACATAGTTGCCTTTGAGTGCTAAACAATTCTGAGACACAACTGGACTTTCAGTGGCCTGCAGCTATAAAAGAGAATTGAGCACAGAATTTGTATTAAACATGACAAAGAAATGGTGTAAGTAGCCGTCACAGAGACTGAGTAATTCTCCTTCCTCCCCTCAGTCTTCTGGATACTGGCTCCAAGGATTTGCATTTGCTGGTTAAAGGCATCTTGTAAGAAAAGGGGAAGAAAAGCTGCTTGCCACACTGAGGTTTTAGTGGCCCCATTCATGATTCAGCAACTCTCTATAAAGCAGCTTGCATACAAGCAGCAGCTTGTCACGCTCAGTGATCTCCCTTAACAGGGAATGTGGGTGTGCACCCTTCTGCAGACTCACAGGATCCTTCTTCAGGCAGCCGACCCCGGCAACACACCTTCTGCTGGAAGACAGCATCCAGGAAACCATGTAGGATCTTTGAGACTTCTGTTCTCACAGCTCCAAATCCAACCCATAAAGAAAGGCAAGCCATGTTATCTGATATTTTTCCCTGAGTTTTATTTCTCTGCCTCACTCTTATTTTCAGTTCTGGTTTCGGTCTTTGCTGCTGTGAGACAGTCATTGCAAAACATGCCTCGCTCTAGCAGTACACTCTCTCCACTTATGTTTCTAGTTGCTAAATTGTTGTAATTTCTCCTCTTATACACCTGCACGGGATCAAAAAAATAGGGCTATCCTTTTTTTTTTCACTTGACTGGAAGCAAAAATTCTTATTCACAGGAGGGAAATATGACTGCTGAGAAGGAGTTTCAGTAGTTTTCAGTGGCTTGGCACAGGCAATTTTATTTAGGCAATCAGTTGTGGTGTTCAATTCAGTGGGACTCAGACTAGGAGGAAAATCCCTTGATAAAAGTTCACCATGTAGTAGGTGGCTGGAGCTGAAAGAGAATGACCTCTGTCTACAACAATGGATTCTGGACAAGCCCTCCCTCCTCTTCTGCTACAACAGAATCAGAAAGAAAATTATCTGTATCCTCTGAGATATTTTGGCTTCTTTCTCCCCTTTCCTAAGAAAAGGTAGGATTAATCTGGTCTAGAAAAAATGTCATTCATAGTTCTGTATGTTACAGTACACACACAAAAACACGTGAGCAGACTGAGGGGAAATCTGTATTAAACAGAAGAAGAGACTCTTGCTCCCAGAGACCTGGGGTAAAGGTAAAGACCTAAGTGTACCAGCTTAAAATAAAACATGACAAAAAATGGGAAACCATCAGGAAGCTGTACTGCTAGTCAGGACAGCAGAGAGCAATCTCACTGTTTTTAAGTAGTATGAGGGCTGAAGAGTTTTTATACCTGCTCCAGCAAAAGAGGATCCTTTGGAGCTGTTTAAAGGAGGAGAGTGAAGGACGTTGGCAGGGGTGGTGTGGAGGCTTCTCGCAAATATACGGAAAAGGCACAGGAAAAACACAAAGACGCTGCTAAAATGCAAACCAGCAACCACAGGTCAGTCAGATGCAGGTGCTGTTCTCTCAGCAGTGCATGGGAATGAGATTTGGCTGTTTACCAGGATTATAGGCCACATGAACCCAAGCAGCCACAGAAGTGTTTTGCTTATGATGTGAGGCACAGGGTTTTTTTGGTTTTTTTTTTCTAAGCAGATGCCAGTTTTTCTTGACTGTAAATTATGTGCTGTTTAGCCTCAACTCTTTAAAACATATAGGATTTCTCTCAGTTATCTTTTACTGTCGTGAGGGATAAGTTCCTGTTACTAAATTGAAGGTCATACACTTCATTGCTTCTGGTAGCTGACATCATCATGCTGCCTCCCCCACCTGCTCCTTCTGTGTCATCTTCTCCTCCCCTTCTATTTTCAATTCCCCCATCTTCTTGCCCACACTGCCAGGCCAAGCACCAGGCATTTTGGGTACTTCTCCTGTCCTTTGCACTCCAGGAGCTCTGTGTTCCTCCCATGGCACACCCTGTCTGCAGTAATCTTGCACCACATCACCTTTTTTGTAAACCAAAGATCCATCATGGCATGCTTCTTGTTGCTAAAGGCTGTGAAGTACACACTGAACTCCTTGCACTAGTCCATGGGAAAAGGTGAGATGATTAACTTTCACAATGGTCTCTCCCTTGCTAAAACTTCTTCTTGTTTTACCTCTTCTTTGGGAGTACTGGAGAAGGTACTGGAGTGTTTTTCAACCTCTAATGTTGCTGTCATTCTTCCTTCTTACAGCATCATGGAGGTCTGCATATTCTTCCTTTATACTATGATACTTCTCCCAGGTAAAAGGTGCATTTTAAATTGTAAAAACTGTTTTGATTGTTTGTGTCCTGCTATGTGATACTTTCTCATCCACTGGGCAGCTCATTCCTTAGCAGAAATTAATCATTTCCGTTGCATAATCAAGGTCATATAGCCTATGTGACATGTATATAAATTGTGTTGAGGGAGTCTATAAAATATATAGTAAGTACTTTCTCTCTTCAACTTTATATCTTTACATTACACTTATTTTACGTTGCTCTTAAATTTTTGATTTAAATGTATCTTTAAAATTGTGTATATCACCTCTGTATATTATAGAGGAGAGCAGTACTAAACTGAAAACTGACAGTTTAATATGGACAACTGGAGTTTTAGGCAGCCGCGGAGATAATTTTGCAGTCTGGTGCTCTGGAAGAGCAGTCAAAACTTTGCACCAGGAGAGAGACTGTAAATCTTCTCCTCCTCTTGAACACAGCAGAGGTGTTTGTATCTTCTGGGACAGAGGACTGCCTTTCTCATTCCAAGAAAAGACGGTCCTCCTGGCCCATTGCTACCCATAATAATGGATGCGTGCACTGATGAAAGCAGGAGAAAAATCATCCTTTGTGTAATACAGTTCATGCTTTCTTTGCATGAAGGCATAAGTGTGTTTATTGACTATTTCTTTTGACAAGATCATCAACAGAACAGTTAAATCTGACATTTAATCTGTCATTAAACGCTAGATTAATTACAGAACAGTTAAATCTGACATTTAATTTGTCATTAAACTTTAGATTAATTCTTCAGTGAGACTGAAAGTGTTCACCTGTTTTTTCTGACCTTCTGGCCATATATTCCCTAGACACCAACATTTACCACAGAGTGTGCACTTCACATTTTCTTCAAAACTGCAATGCTGTGTTATTTTATTAGGAGATGAACTCAACTTTTTAAAAAGAAATTCTGCAACTCTTCTCTTTGTAGCAGAATCTCATAACACTCAGGATGTTACACACAGGAATGGTTTGGACCTTTTGCCTGTAGATAAGTCTTCTAAAATATAGACGCTCGCAACCTCTGTGTGGTAGGCCTTCCTTGGAAAGTAAAATATAATAATAAAAATAAGAAAGTTTTATGACCTGAGCTCCACAAGACTAAGTGAGTCAGTTTGAAGAACTATGTGTCCTGTCATATCTAGTGGGAGAATTTGTGTCTAAATGCTGACGTTTTTATTGCTACTGTCGTTAGGTGTTGCATTTGTGAGGGCAAATACTTGGTGTTCTTTTGTAGCTGATGGAAATCTTAATTTCTTCTCTCTCTTTGTCTAAGGTATTGCTGCTAGTGTGCATCAGGTGAAGTCATTTCTCAATCACACTGCATACCTATCCTGCTATTTTCCAAACTCTCCAAAAACTGATATAAAGGACTTAAGAGTTTTTTGGCAAAAAGGCTTTGTTGAAGTGGTGCACGAAGTAAACTATGGCCAAGAAAAACATGATAATCTTAGTCCTAAATATATAAATCGCACCAAGATGGATATGGACAAATGGACCTTGCAATTGTTAAATGCAGGAATTGTGGATGAGGGACAGTATACATGTATTGTACAGCACAGAGATAAAGGATCGCCAAAGGTCATACACACATCTGCGTGTTTACTGCACATCATTGGTAAGTAATCTCTTCTAATTGTCATCTGGTCTGGGTTTTTGGGGGGAGGTACTCTGTCACTTTGTTCAGTCCAGAAATGTGTGGTACTGTCCCCAAGCCACTGAAGAGATACCTGCACTGCAGCAGAATTTCTAAAGATGGATATGAGCATTCTCAATAGAAAATCCTCATCTCTGAATGAAAAGTATTCAGGTGGAAGCACTCAGAAGGAGAGAATGAGGCAATAATTTGCTCAGTATTGCATTGTTCCTGATTCCCACCCTGTCATACTTTATAGTGAAAACCAATCTGCCTTCTTTCTCTTGCCTCCTGCAAGTTTTATGGCTTTTAGGACTTTGAAAAATACACTTCTTTATTTGCATCTGATGCACTGCCTTCTATTAAAAGCAATAGTAGTTAGCATCATTGGTGGTAAATTACAGTTGAAACATAACAAGATTTCTGCAAACACCCAGCTATTTTATGATGATATAAATTGCAGAGAAAATAAAGGAGCAGCTCATATGTGGAGGAGTAGAAATTCATATGCTCAGTTAAAGTAAGACTGAAAATATCTCTGAGGAAAAAATGCAGGCAGTGATGAGATTCTACCCGTTTTCTTGCATGTTATCAGTGGAAAAGGCAGAAAATCTTTTAACGGGGGAACTGGGTTCAGTGAGGAAGCAATCTTTTCCTAATATTTTCTAATATTTTTTGTAATTTCTAATATATTTTCCTAATTTTTTCTATTTTAAGCTGTTCTGCTAGTAACCTTTGTCCATATGCTGGTGTTCTCTCTTCCACTGTGATAGTGCTAGTCGTTAATAATAACAGCTTCTAACTTGCACTAGTGTTTCCAGGCTTCAAAACTGCTTCAAAAGAGAACAGGCCATGTGTAACAGCAGCCAAAAACAGAGTACCAGGACATCTGGATCTATTTAGCTTTGTGCTACCAGCAAGTGTTCCCTTGGTTCACAGGTAGAAAACCTAGATTGTTAATTTTGATTCTCCCAGAATCTACTTGACAAGTATTTTCAGCAAAGTTTTAGAACTCAGAAACTCATAATGTGCACTCAGTATCAAGGCCTTCAATTTAAGAGATGCTTAGCATCAACCATTCAGTTAATTCAAGCAGTTAAATCAGTTATCAGCTTAGCCAACATCTGAGCAACATATTATAGAACTCTCATACTTAGGTACTAAAACTCTCCCAGACCTTTTAAGGTTTAACATAGGAAGACTGTTTTAAACTATTTGCTGCTGTGTTCCTTCCAAATGACTCTCTGTTCAATAAGCTCCCAAAGGAAGGAGCAGTATAAAATCATATTAAAAAAAAAAATTAGAAGAAAAATACAAACGTTGACATGTACTTGTGCTTACCTACTGTTTCTTAATTAGAATCTCATATCATATGTGGAGGGTTTTTTGTAGTATGGCATGTCACATTTAAAATGGACATCAGAAAGACTGAGTGCTGTACAAGAATGATAGGGCAGTCATACAAAGCTGTCTAGATCACTTGGTGACCAAGCTCATTCAGAAATACAGAAATACCTTCTAATACAGTTCACGTGTTATTTATATGTATTACATTAGGAAAATAGATAGGTATATGTATATTATATGTATTGTGTACAGCCAGGATGATTTGTATAAGAACAACGAACACAGCTCATTCTCTAGAAAGAAGGGAAAGCTTCACAAGAGCAAGCTTTGGCTCTTAAAACAGGCAAGGTAGGGACCATGGTGACAAGCAGCTTAACTGGAAATTCTGCTGCTGTAGCATGTCTCTAGTGCTTCCTTTGGATGGATCAATAAGTGAAGTAGGTGAGACTAGTGAAGCTATTTCAAAATATGCACTATTCAAAGAGTTGGGACTGAAACTGATGTCAGAATACAGACCTAGCACTTTGTGTCCTCATTTTAAGGGGGATGTTGAAAAACTTAAAAGCATGAAGAAAAGCTCTATTAGAGTTATCTGAGGGCTGGAAAAAAATACCATCCAACCGGAGACATTAAAAGATCAATCTGATTGCCTTATAATGCAGAAGACTGAGAAGAATCTTGTTTTCAGAGTGCAGGAAGCTGAAATACACATAAAATACTGGATATTAAAAAAGAAAAAAAAAGGGCTAATTGATTCAGTGAAGGTATAAAAACAGTCAGTGGTTGGAAGTAAGTGAGAAGTAAGGCACATTGTCACTTTAGAAAATGGAACAAAACCAGGTAGGGTAATTAAGCCATTAAGAAAAATATTAAGGGCTTGATGGATCTGCTGTCTCTTGAGGTATTTAAAGCTAAGCCCATAGCCTTTTTGGAAGACATGTTATCTTTAAATACAAAAGGCTTCCTGAAACATGCTCTTCTGTTGACAATACAAAGCTCACATATATGTAGCCCACACCCTGCATGCAACCAACATCACTTTTCAGTAAATTGAGGTTCCAGAAGCCATAAAACAGAAGTGCTTTGATCAGGGTATATTCCACTGTCTCCACTTGTTTACTGTCAATAAGATTGAAACTCTTAAATCACTTGGACAATGTGGCAAGTTTCAGAGCCATGGATCACATTCCTGCCCTCCCTATAAAATGCCAAGGAGAGAATAAATGCCTCAGACCAGAGGCTGGAGTGAGCAGTCAGCTAAGCAAGTCAGACCTTGAGGAGAAAGAAGAAGCTTGAGCTGTCCTGAGGGACAACTTAACTAAATTTTGGGGTATAAAGAAGGTGGAGCTTTTTCCATTTTGAATTCACAGCCATGGACTATCTCAGGCATTTAAGTGACTAAGCTAAATCCTACTCCCTATGTGTTGGGATAGAGCAAATAAAAGCAACATCATATTTCTTCATCCATTCATATTAAGAATTCACTAGGGCAAGGATTAGAGCCTGGATCCAACACACTGAGTGTGTATGCAGAAGAGTCAGACCCTCTTAGGCTCATATTTTTCTAAGAATCCTTTTCCCCTTCTCCAGTATTTCTCCATGTTGCCTTTAGTTCTATTGGCACTAAAATAATGAAGTATTTTCAATGAAGTCTTGAGTCTGTTTCTTAGGTTTTGTTGTTGTTTTGGGTTGTTTTTTTTAACTTGCTGTATGCCAACGTGCAGTCAGTATTATGTCTACGTTCTCCCCTTCTCCTTTTCCATTATAGTCTACTATTTCTACTATAACCTTTTAACCAAACAAATTCTGGTTAAGAATATTTGGGAGATTATTTAATAGAGAGTATTGGTTAAAAGCTTCCATTTATCATTCATGTTTTATGTTTAAATAATACCTTCCAATCCTGTTTCACTAACTATTTCTTGCCTGGAAAACTTGACTTTTTAAAGAAATGGGTATGTTTTTCATTGACTGGGATGAGTATCCAATGACAAAAAGTAAAAAAATTTGTACTGTATTCACTTCCACATAAAAAGCTGAGCTAAGGGAGGCCTACTATCAAGTTAAGATGAGTGAATTATTTTATATGCTGCAAAATGATTACTCATGATACTGACAGACACCAAGGATATTTCTACCTATGACAGCACTGGACCTCCAACTTACCCCATCTGAAGTCCCTCAGATGATTTTTTTCTCGCCATTACACAGTTAGAAGTTTGTGGTTTTCCCCTTACCTAATCAGGAGGTCAAGAGTAGGCAGCACTGTGTCCCACTCCCATTTTGTGCTTAAGCACTGACCTGCAAGCAGAGGTAGAGGCAGAGGCCTAGGGTCACATCCTTGAAACACCCTGAGGACAAGGAGCAGCCAGTCTACACGTACACCAAAAGCATAACAAAGCCTTCTTGGGACTGCCATTTTTTTCCTGAGAAAATTGTTTAGACTTGTTTCTGCCTGAAAATCTTAAATAATTGGCAGGAACTGTCACAAGATGTGGTATGTCTGACTCATGATGCTTTCTCTTTGGTCTGTTTCAGCCAACTATAGTCAACCTGAAATAGCATGGCTGCACACTGGGGAACTAAAGCCCAATGAATACTTGAATCTTTCCTGTTCTTCCAGCGGAGGTTATCCAGAGCCCAAGCAGATGATTTGGCTAATTTCATATGAAAACGTAACCAACAGACTTATGCGTCACATGGATGTCTCACAGGATGCTGTAACAAAGCTGTACAATGTTACTAGCAAGCTGAACATCAGAGTTCCTACAAACACTCTCACTAATATTAGCTGCTTGCTTCACCTTGGAGAGCAGCTGGGGAGCCTTGTCTCAGTGCCACTAGGCATAGGTGAGTCTCCATTGGCCCATTCTGGTTTTTGCATGGATAGGAGCAGGGCACATTGCAGTAGAGCTGATCACAGATAGCAGCATAGTCAAGGCAAGGAATAAACCCTAAGTAGCAATAGGTGTTGATTACAAGGGTTGTATGTTCTCCATCCTGTTCACCAACAGCCACAGCCACCAAATTCCCTGTCCTTTCCATATGAGAAGTCTTATTATGGCAAGGAGAGGGCACAGAGAAGGAAGGCTACTGCTACACAATCCAGAACACAGCCCTGTTCATCCCCTCCCTAGATGCTGCTGCATTAGCAACAAAGCAACCTGGATGTCTGGATTAGGCAGCAACCAGTCTCTGGAGGTGACATTTAGCTGTTAAGAGAGGTTGCCACTTCACAAAATCAGAGAACTATTGAGGTTGGAAGAGGCATCTTGAGATCCTGTAGTTCAACCACTCTGCTCAGAACAGGGTCAACACGTAGCGCAGGGCCTTATCCAGTTGAGTTTTAAATATCTCCCAGGATAGTGACTCCCCAAGCTCTCTCAGCAAACTGTTTCAGTGTTTGACCACCCTGACAGTAAAAAAGGTTGTTTTGGGGTTTTTTTATGTTTAGGTGCTTGAGCTGCTATACTTAATCATTCCCTAGAGAGAGGCAGAAGCCTAAATAGAAGTGTCCTTTGGACCAGATTTGTTTTACGAGCTGCCAAATAGACTGTGCTGAGCCTAGGAGTAAAGTCCATGAAACTTTGACTAGTCTTAGAAGCATTCCTGGTGGTTTTCATAACATTTGGCAGAATGAAGTGTGCATTCCAAAATTACTATTTGGGGATTTTTTTTTTCTCTCAGATTGTGTCTTTTTTCAGATACCTCTTGCAAAAAGAAGCTGGGGACCCAAGTTCCAGTAAGACTTTACTGCTGGATTATCTCAGGGTTCCACAAGACTGATCCTTTTTTTAAACTAAAGCTGTATTTTATTTATCTCCTGGAACAGGAAGACATCCCTTGACATATTTTTGTTCATAAGCTATGGCACAAGCACATCAAAATAAAGGAAATTCCCACTTTGGTCATTAGTTCATTTGACTTGCACATGTCTCCTTTAGACAAACTTGAAGATGGAGAGCTGTGCTTCACTGACAGGAACAGGGAGCCAAGC